ATTATTATTAATTAATTGTAATTCTTGCTCAATTTCTTGTCTATATTCAAAAAGCTCTTTGCATTTTGGATAATCTCAAAGATATTGCTTTTTAAATTCAGAAAAAATTCTGTTGCCAATAAATCTTTTTATCATCAATTCTATGTTTACCTTGATTATTATTTAATTTTTTACTCCTTTCAATTATTTCTTCAAGTGAATTTTCACCATTTCGATATTTAATTTCCCAACACATATTTCTAAATTTTCTTCAGAACCTTTATGAAATATAATTTGTGTTGTTCTTTTTTCTATATCTTCATCTCAACTACCAGTAAACTCAATAATATAATCTAAACATCTTTCAAACTGTGGCCAATCATGTTGATTAAGCTCTTCTTCATATTGACCAAAATTATATGCATCTTAAGATGGTTTTTTAGCTGTTAAAAATATATATTTTGATAAAAAGGTTCAAAATCTTTGTGTTTTATTTCCACATTATATGGTGTATCATTCAATATGTTTATCATATCATTCCAATTAATCTTTATATAAAACTCATCAAGAAGAACTACTTGTTGACCTTCATATCTATTCTACCAATTATTTCATTGTTTTGTTAGTTTATTAGTATATAATTCTCCTTTATCTCTAGAAAATAATTCAGTAACTAAACCAGATTTTTCTGAACCTGTAGGTCCATAAAAATAAAAAGTCAAAGACTGATAAAATCTATTTCCTTTTTCTTTCTTTTTTTCTTTTTGTAAATCTTGATAAATTCTTGTCATCGTTTCATAATTCTTACAATATGGTATTTTGTCTTTATTTTTTTTAAAAATTTCAAGAGAAGTTTTATTATCTAACAACATTTTATTACTATCTATTCTGCTAGAATGTTCATTAGCTTTTAATTCATTTATATCTAGTTTTCTCTTTTTAATATATTTCTTTTCAATTTCTCTAAATTCGCCAAATTCAAATAGACCAGTGATTTCTTTTGGTAAAGTACCTCGACCCCAAAATGTATTTTTTTGTTCACATGTTGAATCACATTTATCACATCTGTGATTAATATCATAATAATCACAATAACAATCTGAATGCTTCTTACAATGATTGTAAGGCTTTAATATATATGCTCTATTTTGAATTGAAGTGCCATTTAATTTTCATTGAAATATTAAAGAATTATCTTCTTTAAATATTTTTTTAGCACCCAATAAAGTTTTTCTTTTATCAGGATAAAATTGTATATATATCTGCACATGTAATTGCTCTGAATTAGTTGGTTCATATTTCCAACCAATATAAGATACATCATTTTTAATTTTATCATAAGCTTCTTGAGTTGTTGGTACAACTCGCTTATATTCAATATTATTTGCTTTACAATAATCACATATAATATCATTACATTTATTTAATAAACAACAATTTGTACAAGTATCAATTGAACAACGCCAATGTTGAACTTGATATAATTTACAAATTGGGGTACCAGTTTTTTTAAACTCATCTTCACGAGACTGTATATCTTTTTTATTT